CAGCCCCCTTCCCTCCACCTCCCTGCAGCCCAGAAGCCCAGTTCGGCCCCCCGGATTACTCCATGTTTTCGGCACTTTCAGCCCTCCAAAGTGCCGAAAACGCGGAGCACGGCTCCCTTTCCCACCACCTCCCCTGCAGCCCAAAAGCCCTGTTGCTTCCAGGATCTCATGTAGTGCGAGGCTGTTTTCTTGTCGCTGTTGGTTCTGGGGCTCTTGTCGTGGTAGGTTGTTTTCTTGTTGTGGTTAGGTTTCTCCAGGGCCTGTCGTGGTAGCAACCCCCCCTCATGACAGGGTGTATGACCGCAAGAATCGAAGAGCACTCCCCATTTTGGGTCTCCCTTCAAGCTGCTTGTTAATTTTGTGTAAGCTAGGTCGAAAATACGAATCTGGTGTGCTGTAGATGGATGAAGTGAACTGCACGGCTGCCGACAGCATCGTGATTGACGCTTGTTGTTGAGCATTCAAGACATCCTCACTCTCCAAACCCAAATCGTGGAACCGTCAGACCTTTGCAACCCAATCCAGCTGCTCTTTACCAAGGTCGGTCCAGCTGCGGCAGTGGGCTGGTTTCTAAACATATGCAAGCCGTGGTCTTGTCGTAATGCCTCTTCATCATGATCTGCTAAACGGCAAGCTAAAGGTCAGATCGCCGGACGTCGGAGTCCGCATACCTGCATGCCAGCCCTACATGAGTCACAGAGCATGCAAGTGAAGCAACACATAACAGGTGTGTCCGACAAACTATGCCACTTGGTTGATGGAGGTGCAGAAGGCCTCGTTTCTTCTTGAAATTACTTGAGGAATGCAGCAAGACCATGGGTGCTTACGAGTCTCTGGTTAGTCTCTGGTTTGACCTGTCAGGCCACGTTTCTGCAAAGTCTGACTCTCCGGCAGGAGCGATTCTATGAGGCAGGCGGTACTCAAGTTTGTCGAGCGCTTACCATGGCCTTCCGCATGCAACGCAGGTGGTTATTTGCAACTTCACAGGAAGGCTTCCTGACATGTTTCGGCAGATCCGCGAAATGATGTCTGGCGTGCCAACCGCGCAGAGGCCGCTGCATCTGCAGGGTTGCAAGGACCCAGCGGCACGAGTGACTGTGGCGGGACGCCTGCTACGGCTCCTGCCTGAAGTATCCCCTTCAGGCTTGTCGAATGTCTTCCGTTGGCCACCCAAGCTTGAGGCCTTGCATAAGCTTGCTCAGAGGCACCGTTGGCGGTCGCACCGAGCTGGTGGAGCAGACAGCTCAGCCACAGACACGAAAACCAGCAGCATGCCGTTTCCAGTTTCCTGTGTACAATAAGGCGCGTCCTTCTGCACCAGCCGGAGTCTCATCCATCACCGACGGTTCAGGCTCTTGCACGGTATTTCGCAGAACACGATGTGGGTGCTTGCAAAAAAAGAAGTGGTGTGCAGGCCAAGTTTCAACCCCATAGCAATTGCGGCGACCTCCTTGAGTTCACAGTGGTGTACTTGAACGCAGAAGGCAGCTGCGCCGAGATGCGGACTTGCTGCGGGGCACTCTCCGCTACTTATTTGTTCATCGAATTTTATCAACATGCTGTATCAATTTATGACCGCTACCATCCTGATGTCGGCTCAAGCAAGCAGAGAAGATGTCAGTGAACATTTTCCAAGGACAGCCCTCGAAAGTCCTTCTTTGTCTGCTTCTGTTTGCTGGACTCGGGCCGTGGCAACTGTTTGGGGTGACTCCGCAAACAACCCGACCACGGGCGCGGAGAATGGCAGGCTGCCATCGTGCTACGCTCTCGTGGCCGTGTCGCGGAAGCCTCTGAAGCTCTGTGAACATGATAGGTCGTGGCGATGTGAATCTGCACGAGCCTGGTGCCAAGCTGTCCCCCATGGCTTCTACTGTGGACATTTTCTTGAATCCAGGATCTGGTCTTCTGCATTGACTGCACATATACTTTGCACATTTTGGACCTGCATACCTTGTTCAACAAAGAAGTGGGTGGAGAATAAGAAGAAAGACAAGACCTCAAGCAGCGAGTCGGAAACGGATTAGTTGAGAACAGGGCAGGGGCAAGTCAGACCTGGACGAGGGCCCCAGCCAGGAAGGGACAGGGAGCGAGTCAGAAACAAGAGTGGAGAACAAGACAGAACAACCAAACGCTGGGAACAGGCTCAAGGCTGCAGCTCGAGCTTGCACACCCCAAACCCTGGGCCACGCGGTTTCGGGTGTAGTCTTTAGGACTAGAAGCCCCTGATTAGAACTCCTGCTGTTCCTGACTCGCCCCCTGTTCAATCTCGACTCGCCCTCTGCCTGTTCTTGCCCACGTTCTTTCTGATCAACCCTACTGCTTGTTCCTGACTGGCCTCTCATCCGCAAGATGGGGCAATGGAGATGCGAAGTTTATTCATTTGGCAATGGGCTTGCTGTGGTCTAGCGGCTGTCCGGAACATGCCGGAAAAATTAAGGAAACAGGAACGACATAGTACGGCAATCAATAAACTGAAATACACTCAACATTAACTCAAAGTAACCTCGAAATACGCCCGAAATAAGTCTAACTCGAGCATATTTGAGGTTCATTTGTTGCTGAGGATGTTGTCCAGAAACACCTTCACCCATCCAAGTCTCTGTCAAATATATCTAATAACCAGGAAATTACTTCTAAATAATCCTGGCACCCCTTGCCAGGATTGCGTGAAGATGCAGATGCAGTTCTTCATCAAATTTTTGATGTATAAGAAAGACGGTTTTAGTCCCACACCCCGAACATCTTTGGGGAGGCTGATTGAAGCGAAGCTGGGGGCAATCCAGCTTGGGCTGTCAGAGCAGGGTTCAATTTTGACCAAGATGCACGGCAAATTACATCTGTTAGAAGATGTTGTAAGCGTGGCGGGGGCATGAGCAGCCTCAAGTCTGGATGAGTGTAAGACTTCCATGGCTTTGCTGAAACGGCTAGTTATAGTGTCCTTGCGAGGTCATGCATCCTGATCATAGCCACAGGAGGGACAATTGACAAGGCAGGAGTGCTCATGTCTGTCATCCATGCCTAGCAACATTCCATAATTACTTTGTGAGAGCTCGTAGATTCCTGTCTGTAAAGTCTCCTGGCCGTTTAAGAGCTGTCTTGTTTATGTGCTTGGACTCTTTGGTCGAAAACTAGACAGGTTTGTGATTTCGATGTTTCGTCCTTGTTTATGTTTGTGAAATGCATCATACGAAACGCGATAAGATTCAGGTGTACTTGCGTCAGCCTCTGTTCGACAAGCCTTGGCATTATGCCTGCTGTTACACAGACCTTACAAGCACTGGCGGCCGTGTGCGCAGCAACAACCTACGGCGATGTGCAGCTTTGGGCGTGTGCGGCCCGCGGTTCTCAAGTAAGCATGCGAAATCGCGACACATGGCACTAGTATGTGTCAAACTCTTAATGAGTGACGGCTCTGGACTCTGAGAGAGGCCTGAGATGTTGGGACAATTGACGAGAACGGCTTCCGATTTCACAAGGGTGTCCAGCCGACTCCGCCTTCATCAACACCACGCAACTGAATCTCTAAATCTCATGATCATCTGGATTGCTGCAACATGTTGAAACACACAACAAGGAGGACACCGCGGCGGAAATGTCTCAGAATGCACTCACCGTCCCGGGTTTCTGGAAGACCGGTCCTTGGCCTTTGAAACTCATTTTTGGCTTCAACTTGCTGTCTGTTTGTTGAGTGCATCTTTGGGCATACTGGAGCCACCCAGTTCAAGTCTGAAGTTGCGACCATGCCAGCCGCGCCGTGATTGGCAGGTGTATCCTCGTGTGACTGGCGGTTGGGGCTTTGAGATTGGGGAGCCAGCCGCCGGCCGGAACCTCGCTGTAGAAGCTTTTGTTCTGCTTCATCCGAAGCAACTGGTTCAAGTGGTGAAGCTCTTCCGTTTAGGTTGCTGCACGCACAAATTGTTGGCGTCCCTGCAAGGATCCTGAGCCGCGTCTCCCCTGCAGGATGGACAGCATGATGGTTTCCTGGTTGACAATGCATCAGACCATGATTCACGCACGCAGGATTCAACTTTGAGGTGAAGAGCATCTTCGCCAAAGATTCCCAGGATCGAGATTCTGGAATTCGGCCAGTTGTGTTCTTGTCTCCTTTCAGATGTTTATACAGGAAATTTCTGCCGAAGATCGGGCATGCATTCTCAAAGCTTGCCAGGTGCGAACCTCAGAGCATGCCTTCACGTTCACGCAAGACCTGGGGATTGGACCTTTCTGGTTCAAGATGAGGATTGCTCAAGTCTAGCATGCAAGGGCCACAAACTGAGCAGCACCAGATATTAGACTGCTGTCCGCAAGTGTCTGAAGGACAAGCGATTAATCCCCAAAGCCGTGGGAAGTGCGCTAAAGGCTATTCAGGCCCTGTGGAAATCCCAGACTTAATTGGTCAAGCCTTGCCAATTGCCGGCAAAAAGCCCCATGGCAATCCGCAACATCTCACGAAGATCCTGCGCAGTTGTCAATTCAACGACAACAAAAAGTAATGATTCCGAAATCTTCACGCCATGAAGGCCTCATATTCTGAAGCCCCTAGACATCCTCACACCCTCACAACCCTAAACACCAAAAATCCCGACCCCTGAAAATCCCTGACTAAAGGCCCCCGGCCTGAGTAACTCTGGGCTTGCTTCATTCCAGATGTTCCAGGGACATCAAATTTGCAATGTCGTGCACGTCTTCAACCTGAAAAGTAATTTTCGAAGCTCGCAGCTTGGTAAACGGATAACATTGGGAATCCAACACAACCCGAGGCACGGACCCTTTGCCTAATTCTCAGATGTCCCCTGGTGTCTAGCACTTCTTTTGCGTTGCTGTAGGGGGGGCCTATGGCCGCACTCCCAAAATTCGTCTTGCTAAGCTCGGAGTGGCAACACATACAAATGCCTGCAATGCCCGCTTATCCTCAAGGAGTCTGAACAGATTCCCCTCCCGCACTAGGATCTCGGCTGTAACCTTCGGATCCTTCTGTATCTTCTGTTGCAAGGGTGGAGAATCAAAAGCAATACATGTCTGACTTTCAAGCGGCTGCACGAAAATTCACAAAGTGATATAACCGGAAAGTCCCAACAATCATCGTTGGACGCAAACTCACCCAATCCAAAGACAGCCCAGGGCACTGGGTGCGGAAAAGTCGGAGGCACTGGCAATCCGAAAAGAGAAAAGCAGAAAAACAAACAAGTGCTAAAAACTTGAACATGCAGCACCGATTGCAAAAGCTTTTGGGTCATCATTTGGTCAGCATCACCGCATGTGGACAAAGCTGTCACAGTTGCAATGCTGTCTTGCGTCCTGTGTGGCACGCTGGATTTCAAATCGGCCTAGCCAAGCATTTTTGGCAGGAATGGCCAGGTGACGAGATCATCATTACTCATGGCACCGACACATTGATAGAGACCGCTCAGTACTTGGGCCGCCGAGCAGGAGCATTGGCAAGACTATATGGATTTGTTCATTACATGACTTTTCATGCCTCCTGTCGTGTACCGAGGAGAACTAAGTTCCAAGCGGATTTGCTTGACTGGTTCAATGCTTCCAGAAAGATTTGTGGACACAGATGCTCATTTCAACATGGGTATCTCGGTCAACATTCCTTGTGTCGTTGTTGTAACGAAAATGAAAAGGAAAGGGTCCAAAAGCGTTACATTCAATCTTTCTTTGTTCTCAGCGCAAGGCGTTTGCTTTGGTGCGCTGAGCGCTGTGGTGCCGGGCATCTACGTTTCTCGACGTGATTTCTTTCACTGAAGCTGTCGAGCGAGACAGAGGGTTGGATGATATCACATTTGTAGCATATTTTTTGCCTTTTTCCCGAAAGCTCCGCGAAGGGTTCCTCGTCAAAAAGCGTCTGCCTTGCACACACCACTACACTTACACCGCTCACCTACACTGCGCCACAGCATTTGCACACATCGCACCACTTGCACCGCTCACATACACTATGCACACACCACTGCACTTACACCGTTCACCTACACACCACTACACTTACACCGCTCACCTACACTGCGCCGCAGCATGTGCACACATCGCATCACTTGCACCGCTCACATACACTACGCCACAGCATTTGCACACATCGCACCACGTATACTGCACACACCACTACACTTACACCGCTCACCTACACCGCGCCACAGCATTTGCACACATCGCCTTCACATCGCCTTCTATTTTCTCTTTTTTTAAAGCCGGGGTAGGGTCATCGGGAATCGTCGGAAGGCACCCTCTGCGGGTTTCGTGCGCGTCGCATCGCTCCTGTTCTGGCGCCGTGCGAATTTCTAAACTGAACAGCGAACCCTC